CTGGCGGCGGTGATGGCGAGCGCGTCTCCCGGCCGGGTGCTCAGGGCGGCGTCCGGCGCTTCACCCACGTGGCGGCGGGGCCGGACCGGGCGTTCCCGGTGCTGCTGGGGCTCCACACGTCCCGCCGCCCCCATTCCGGGCCTTCCCCAAAAACCAGCAACCCAGCTGGGCCGGCGCAGCTGCACCCAGAGCTGTCCCGGCCGCGTCCGCGCTTGGCTTTGCCTCGTGCCGCGCTCGGGCCAGGCCCCGTTCGCTCCGGGGTGCTTCCCGGTGTCGCATCCCTCTCGCCGCCGCTCCGGCGTTTTCCGGCGCGAAGCTTTGCCGTCACACGGGGCCGGCAGTGCTGGGTCCGACCCCGGGCTGACGGGGGTTTGCCGGGCTGGCCGGTGTGGCCGTGCTCGGCTGTGGCAGCACGTCCCGGTCAGCTGCTGTCCAGCGTCCATCTGGTGGCTCACGCTCGGTCCCGCGCCGGTGGCTGCGGAGGGCTGGGGGGGTGGCAGCCGGTCCCGTCCTGTCCCGCCGGTGCCCCGGCACGGCCGCACTGACCCTGCCTCTCGCGTCTCTCCCCAAGGCAAGCGGATGCGCGTGCAGCTGTCCACCAGCCGGCTGCGGACGGCGCCCGGGATGGGAGACAAGAGCGGCTGCTACCGCTGCGGGAAGGAGGGGCACTGGTCTAAGGAGTGCCCGGTCGATCGCCCGGGGCAAGTGGCGGACTTTGCCGAGGCCTATAACGAGCAGTACGGAGCCGTGCGCACTCCCTACACCGCGGGCTATGGGGAGACCGTGTATTACGATGAGGCCTACGGCGGGATGGCCGACTACTACAAGCGCTACCGCGTCCGCTCCTACGCCACGGCCTCGGCGTACGACGCCTACGCGGAGCAGACCATGGCCCAGTACTCCCAGTACGCCCAGTACTCCCAAGTCCAGTCCTCGGCCATGGCCGCCACCACGGCCATGGCCGGCCGCATCCCCACCACCTTAGACGCGTACGACCGAGCGCTGCTGCCCACCCCGGGCGCGGCGGCTGCCGTCGCCGCCGCTGCTGCCACCGCCGCGGCCGCCGCCGCGTCCTCCACGTATTACACCCGGGACAGGAGCCCCCTGCGCCGCACGGCCGCCGCGGCCAGCACCGTTGGAGAGGCGTACACGTACGAGCGTGGGCAGCTGTCGCCCGTCTCCTCGGTGGCCCGGGCGTCCCTCTACGACATGCAGCGCTTCGGGCGGGACCCGTACGCGGACCGGGCGCGATACTCCGCCTTTTGAGCCGGAGGTGAGCGCGTTGGCGGCTCTCGGCACCGCGGGGGGGCCCCGCTGCCGGTGGTCCCGGTTGTGCCAGTTGAGGTTGAGGCGGGTGACAGGTCACAGTGACACGGACAGGCCCCATGGGCGTTAAAGCCCAGCTGTGGTGAGGAGGTGCCGTGGTGAGCGGAGCGGTGCTGGTGTCACTCTCATGGCTGTAACTCGCGTTCCTGCTGGGCCGGGCACCGTCTCGGCACAGTCCCTGCGGGGTGGGGGGTTCCCACAGAGCCCCCGGCCCAGGGGCAGCTCCTGCTCGCTCAGGCTGTGCCCAGGTCGTGGTGGGCCCAGGGTCGGAGGGGGCCGGAGCCCCGCTGCTGCTCCACATCAGGACTCTCTTGCTGCCAGCTCCCCAGGGCACCGGGGCTCGGCACAGTTCCAGATCGGCCCCGGGGGCACCTGCGCCAACTCCTCTTTTCTCTTACAGGTAAGATTTGTGCGGCTGGACGTCGGGGTCCCGTCGCACGCCGACTCGGCGCCGCGCGTCTCGGGCCGCGCCGGGTGCCACCGCCGCCGCGTGCCGCTCCCGGGCCCATTCCTTACGGACGCGCGGCTCGTCCTCCGCCCGGGCAGGATTAGCTCAGCCCCTCCCCCAGCTTCCCCCGCCCCCCTGGGCAGGATTTTGCTTTTCCAGGTAGTTTTGGGTCCCCACCCCAGGCTCAGGTGTGAGCGCGCAGCCGCAGCCGCAGCCGTCCCCCAGCGCCAGCTTTGCTTTGCTTCGCCGCCCCCTCACTCCCCCGGAGCTCTTCCCGAGTCGTCGTTTTGCCTTTTTTTTTTTCCTTTATTTTTTAAGAGGGTGGATAATCCAGTGGTAGGTTTTTAGCCCAACGCTGTAGCTGACCGGAGGCCGCCGCGCCGCGCCGGCGGGGGTGGAACCCCCCGAGTGATTTAGAGTCCCCTGACCCCACTTTCCGGTAAAATAAAAACTCAAAATTTTTAACAAACGGCGCTGGCTCCGCCCCCGGTTCTTTCTCTGCACTCACGTCCCCTCAGAACACGGCACGGAACATTCTGGACTCCCCGGTGCTGCCTGTGCCCTGCCTGGCTCTGCCCATGCAGACCAGAGCCCCCAGGGATGGGCTGCTGCAAATGGGGACACCCCCAAAACAGTCCTGGGGCCCCCCAAAGGGGCACCCAGGGGTGACAGAGAAGCTTTAACCCCCAGCTCTTCCTACTCCCCTTAACCTGCCCAGGGCTAATTAGTCCACAGACTGTTTTGTTTGTCCCCAAAGTGGCTCATTTGTGCCCGGATTGTTCCTGCCTGTCGGTGTTCATTAATTAACGTCATTAAGCCCAGGACATGCCTTTGGTGATGCTGCCATTTCTGCCTTGCCAGCACCAATTGGTGCCATGGTCACCCGTGGGTGCTGCCATCGCCACACCTGGGGGATTTGGGGCCAGGCCCAGGGGTGTGTGGCCATCCTGGCAAGCAGGGGAGAAGCGTCAGATCCTCATGCCTCGATAGTTACCGTGGTGGTTAATGAGTCTTGGCTGTCCCCCATGGCACAGCCAGACTGGGCTGTGACCGGTCCCTGGGGAGAAACGGGGCAGGAAACACCTGCAGGAATGGTCACGGTGGTGGCGGTGGTACCCGGCATGGCACGCACCACCCCTCAAAACCAGCTTTCCTCACCCAAAACAAGCCCCAGCACAGGTCAGTGCTGGTGATCCTGTCCGGTGGTGTCATGGCAGAACTGAGTCTGGCACTTCCTGCTGCCAGCTCTGAACACTGCTCATCCTCCAAATCCTCTCCTCTGTGGTGGGAAAGCAGCTCCAGCACCAGGAGCGGCATCAGCCTGGGATGGGCGGTGATGGTGGCACTGGGAGGTGTCCCCAGGGGTGGGAATGGAGCCCCAGGACTGGGAAAGAACCAGGCAGGAGGCGTCGGGAACCGGAGCAGACCCCAGCATTTATTTACAGTCATAAAAAACTGCCGGCACTCTGCCGGCCTGACGCTGGAAACGGGGAATTCACCCAAAAAACGGGACAACTCATGGTATAAAAGAGTCTGAGCCGCATGGCTGCAACCATTGGCGGGTTATGAACCGGCACCGAGCACCAGCGGGGGATGAACCATGCGGCCACTGCCAACCGTAACCGCGGAACCTTCTAAAAAACTCAAAACAGCAAAACCAGAAAGAATCGGCTGAAAAAGAACCGTCCATGCCCCAGCGGGGCGGCGAGCGGGGCCGTGGCCGGCTCAGAGGCGGCGCTGGTAGCCCGAGTGGATGCGGGCAGGGGGCAGGTAGTCGCCGTAGCCGCCCGAGTAGCGGGCGTACTCGGTGTGCGCGTCCGGCAGGCGGCGGTAGTCCAGCGGGGACTTGGTGGGCGAGCGGCGGTACGCCAGCGGCGAGTCCGCTAAGCGCCGGTAATCGGCCAGCTCGGACAGACGGCGCTCGGAGCCGTACCTGGGCGAGAGAAGAGAGGGGGATCAGCCGGGCGGGACGACACCTGGATCTGCCACTGTTGGCGGTGCCGTGTCCCACCTGGGGACACATCGCGATGGGCAAAGCCGGCGCAGGTCAGGATCGGACACCGGATGCCATGGAGGCCCCGCTGTGTGTCACTGCCTCCCCTCACCCACACCAAGCCCCTTCCCCTCCCCGGGATCTGCGCGGCACGAGCGGAGCCATGGCGCCCACCGCGCCGGGCGATAGCGAGCCGCGCCGGTGCCACACGGCACCGGTCAAGCTGCGACTGGTGTGCCGGAGCCCGGTGAGCCGGCGAGCAGCGGGAGGCAGGGGCGGGGGTCGGTGCCCCGCCCGGCACCGTACCTTTTAGCCAGAGAGGACGATTTTTTGTACGGGTCGTCGTAGGCGGCGCTGCGAGGCGGGGAGAGGCGGGTGCGCTCGTAGGGCGGTGCGGCGGCCTGCGCCAGGCCCAGGTAGGAGCCCGCCGGCTGCCCCAGCTGGCTCGGCCCGTCGTAGGCGCTGCCTGGTTGGGCTCGGTACGCGGCCGCCAGCGCGGTGGAGGACGGCTGCTGCGCGGGGTAGGAGGCCGCCATGGCGCCGGAAGCCTGCGCCCGGTACGCGGCCGTCAGCGGGGCAGAGGCCTGCGCCTTGTAGGACGCGGCAGCGACGGCGGCCTGGCTGCCGTAGGATGCAGCCAGCGAGGAGCCCGTCTGCGCGCCATAGCCAGCGGGGAGCGCGGCGGCCGCGGGCTGGCTGCCGTAGGACGCGGGCAGGCCCGTGGCGGGCTGGGCTCCATACGAGGCTGAGTGGCCCACGCTGGGCTGGGCGCCGTACGAGCTGGACAGCGCGGGTTGGGCACCGTAGGAGGCAGAGTGGCCGGCCACAGGCTGGTAGGCAGCGGCGGCGTGACCTGCCACGGCCTGGGCACTGTAAGAGCTGGCGTGCACCGCCACGGCCTGGGCACTGTAGCCAGCAGACAGCACTGCGCCGGGCTGGGCACTGTAGGAGCTGGCGTGCCCATCCATGGGCTGGGCGCCGTAGGAGCCTGGGGCCAGCTGGGTGCCGTAGGACGCCACGTGCACAGCCACGGCCTGGGTGCTGTAGGAGCCGGCAGAGCCGGCAGCGGGCTGGGCGCCGTAGGCAGCGATGGCAGGCTGGGCGCTGTAGCCGGCTGAGTAGCCCGAGGCGGGCTGGGCGCTGTAGGAAGAGGCCAGGGCAGCGGACTGGACGCCGTAGGAGCTGAGGGAGTTGGCGGCCGCGGGCTGCGCACCGTACGAGGCAGCAGCGGCGGGCTGGGCGCTGTAGGAGCCGAGGGAGTTGGCAGCAGCGGGCTGAGTGCCCGCCGCGCCCAGGGAGCCGACCGAGGGCTGGGAGCGGTAGGCGCTGCCCAGCGAGGCCGAGGGCTGCGCGCGGTACGCGGCGGCCTGGCCCGTGGTGGGCTGTGGGCGGTACGCCACGCCCAGGGAGGCTGAGGGCTGGGCTCGGTACGTGGCTCCCAGCGAGGCCGAGGGCTGGGCGCGGTAGGCGGCCGGCTGCGCCGTCATGGGGAGCGTCACCGCCGCGTAGCCAGCGCGGGTGGGCGAGCGCCGCAGCGGGCTGCGGTCCCTGCCAAAGTAGGTGGGGGAGGCGGGTCGGGGCTGCGCATCGAAGGCGTCGTACTTGGCGCCGAAGCGCTGCTGGTAATCGTACAGGGAGGGGGTGGTGGCATAGCCAGCGCCTGTGGCCGAGGGGAAGGCGGCGTCGGCCGCCCGGCGCTGCTGGTCGAAGCCCTCGATCTTGGGCTGGAACTTCTCGCGGTACTCGAGGCCGATGCGCTTGGTCTTGTCGACGCCGAGGGCGGGCGGCGGCGCCTGGCCCGTGCCCTTCTTCTGCACGTTGGTGGAGAGCTCCACGTTCACCCGGCGCCCCTTCACCTCCTTCCCATTTAGGTTTTCGATGGCAACTTTAGCATCGGCTTCGTTCTCCATGTGCACAAAGGCATAGTCTGACAAAGCAGCAGAGAGAGCAGTGAGGGGAGAAAACACAACTCGTTACAGGAGCCGGCACTAACGAGCCGTGCGGCGGCAGCGGGACGGGCGCAGGACGGGCGCTGCTGGCCCTGGGACGGCGCTGCCGGCCCCGCTCGCCGGAGAAGACACAACCAGCACCATCGGCTCTGCCCCACGCTCGTTTGGTCACAGCCCACCCGGCGTCCCCCAGCTCACAGCCTCCCCCAGCCCGCCTGGCTCCCTCCGTGCCCCCCCAGGCTCTGCCTCCTGTGCCCCCTCCCAGCCCCTCCCTGGCACATGGGGACGAAGGGCCCGGGCTGGGCTGGCAGTGCCAGCACCGTGGGCTCAATGGGACGTCCTGGCAGTGAGCGGAGCAAAGCTGAGAGAACCGGCGCCAGCACAGAGAGCAGGACAGAGAAAGGGAGGAGAAGAAGAGACAGAAAAAGACAAGGACAGAGAAGGGAACAGGGATGGACTGATGGAACCCCGGAACAGGGACTTAGAGAAGAAAAGGAGGGAGAAGAGGGAAGGAGGGAGGGAAGGAAGGGCCTGAGCACCCCCCATCAGTGCCCAGCCATGGCAAGGAGCCAGTGCCACAGGGCACAACTGTGGCTTGGCAGCGCAAAGGCGTCTGAGGACAGTGAGGAGCGGGGAAGCAGGACCTGGTGGCAGCTCTGGTGGCCGCCTGTGGCACTTGGCCCAGCAGGTTTGGGGGCTGGATGCCCCCACGGTGGTCGGGGATCACCCCCGTGGCATGACGGGTCCGGGGCTGGCACAGGGCAGGAGGGCATCGGCCCTGTGGTATTTCCCTGCAGTCACAGACCAAGACCACCAGAACCAGTGACAATCCACCCAAGGGTGTGTGGTGTGCTGGGAGCATCACTGGCCAAGCAAACCCATCCCATCTCTGAGCATCAGTACCATGTCACCCTCTCCTTTGTCCTCCCGGTGCCATCCCACTCCCCTGGCTCCTGTCCCACATCCACATGTCCCACTCTGGAATCCCAAAGAGGAGATGTCCCCTCCATGTCACCCCCAGCCCTGCTGCCAACCCTGGGGGTAGCCATGGCACCCCCAAACCTGAGGGGACGCGGGGCAGGTTCTGCCGGGCTGTGCTGGCGACTGTGACCTGGGACGAGAGAACAGAGGAACAACGTCCCCCTCCTGTGGGCAGGGGCACACGGGGCACTGCGGGGACATCACCGGGGCTCCAGGGTCGGGTGAGAAGGGATGAGATGACAGCAGGGTCAGGAGAGGGGAGTGACACTCGTCAGTCCATCAGTGTGACACGGCTGACACTTGAGCTGGGGGAGGTGGGTGACCCCACCAGGCTGTGCTGGGGGTTTCCAATGCGAAGCCATTGAATCCCTCGGGGGTTTCACGGGGTGTTCTGTGCATGTCCCTGCTCCGTGTCTGAGCGTGTCTGTGGAGCCCAGGCTGTGGCCTGGGGGTGATTTGGTCGCCGAGGTGGCAGCAGTGGGCAGGGGGTCACACCCCCGAGGCTGAGGGTGCTGAGGGCACAGAACAAAGCTGCCAGGAAGGGAGTTAAGGGGGTGTTCAGGAGTGTGGGGAGCTCACCTGGGCCATTTGAGGCAGGTGAGGGAAGATGAAGAGGTTGGCTAGAGAAGAGATAATGTGGAGATTGAGGGGGCTGGGAAGCCCACACGAGCTCATATGGCCCCACCTGGGGTTTGGGGAGGCGATTGCAGAGCACGAGGCCGGCTGGAGAAGGGTTAGCGGGGGAGTTACGGGGGTCAGGGGCTGGCACAGCCCCACCTGAGCCCGGGGGAGGCGATCGAAGACACGTGGTTGCCAGAAGGGGGGTTAAGGGGGCTGGACCGCCCACACAGGCCCGCACCGCCCCGGCCGGGGCGGGCGGAGGCGATGGAGGAGGACGTGGCTGGCAGAAGGGGGGTTACGGGAGCTCACTCGGGCTCGCACGGCCCCGCTCGGGGCAGGGGAGAGGCGGCAGGAATCCCCCCGCTCCACCAGCCCGGGCCGCGCCGGGGTCCGGGCGGGGGCGACGCCGCAGTCGGACGGAACTCGGGTGCCACGGGTCACCCGGCGGCGCGGGCCGAGCTGGGCGGCGGGGGCCGCGCGGCCCCGGCGGCGGGTCCGGTACCTTTCACCACGTCGCACTCCACCACGGGCCCGTACTGCTGGAAGAGCGAGCGCAGCTCCCCGCTCGTGCACGCGGCCGACACATTCCCCACGAAGATCTTGCAGGTGTTGGTGGGGCGCGGCCGGGATGGCTCCACCACGATGCGGCGCCCGTGCAGTTGGTGCCCGTTGAGCTGCGAGATGGCGCGCGCGGCCGCCGCCTCGTCCCGCAGGTGCACGAAAGCGAACTGTTTCATGAGGGCGACGCCCAGCACCGGCCCCGCGGCGCCTGCGAACAGCTCGCTCAACTCCTCCGCCGTCGCCTCCTCGGGGACGTTGCCCACGAAGAGTTTGATGCCAGGACGCATCGCGGCGGGGAGCGCGGCGGGGACAGAACCGGCAGTGGCGGCAGCGGCTTCAAAATGGCGGCGGTTCCTGAGGGCGGCGGGGGCGGCGCCGTGCGCAGCGCGCCTGCGTGCCGTGCGCACCGCCCTCCCTCAGCGCGCCTGCGTGCCGTGTGCACCGCGCGCGCGCGAGCCCCGCCCCCTGTTTTCCCGCCGCGTTAGCCCCGCCCATCTCTCCGTTAAACCACGCTTCGTTAGCTCTGGCCACGCCCCCTCTTAAAGGAGCCGCAGCAGCTGCCGAGCGAGGGGCTCCGAACTCTTTATTGGGTCCCGGGGGGCTCCTAGAGGTGGGGGCTGGGGGTCTCCATGGCGGGGGTCCCCGGGGGAGCCCCGCGGCTGCGGTCGCGCTCCTCCCAGAGGGTGACGCCGTCGCAGGAACAGACGCGTTTGGGGTTCTGGAAGAGCCCGGCCGCGCGAGCCACCACGCCACAGGCCAGCCTGGGGACACGCGAGGGTCAGGGGGGTGACCCCACCCCAAAATACCCCCCTCGAGAGCCCCCCCAGTGCTCACCCCGGGCCCGAGTTGCCGTTGACGCGGGACAGCGGGTGCGACCCCCGGCCCAGATCGTCCTCGCCCGCGGCCACCACCACGGAGCGGCCGATGATGTCCCAGACCTGGGGAGGGGGATCTGGGGGGTCACAACCCCATAGGGACCCCCCCAGATTTAGGGACAGACCCTCCCCGGTGGTGGGGCAGAGCCTGGACCCCCCCCCAGCCCCCAACTCCCACCTTCAGCCTCGAGTCCTCGATTCGGAACCGCGCCCGGCCCTCGGCGTCCGCCCAGATGTTCCCCAGGTCCCCGGCGTGCTGGGGGGGCACAGGGGGTCAGGAGCCCCCCAAAACTCACAGAGCACCCCCCGACCCCACAGAGACCACCCAAAGGCTCCAGAGACCCCTAAATCCTCTCACTGCACCACAGAAACCTCCAAAAATCCCACAGAGCCCCCCCCGACCCCTCAATGTCTCCCCAAACCCTCCAAGACCCCCCCAAATCCTCCAGAAACCTCCCACAGACCCCCCAAACCCCTCCAAGACCACCCCAAATCCCCTCACTGCTTCCCCAAACCCCAAGATCACCCCAAATCCTTTAAAAACCCCCCAAATCCCCTCATTGCCCCCCAAAACCCCTCCAAGACCCCCCAAAATTGCCCAGAATCCTCCCAAAGACCCCCCCAAATTTCTCCAAGACCACACCAAATCCTCTAG